TTCAGCTCAGTGGTTCCATGCCGAGTTCGATCCCCAGTACCAAAAAAAAAAATCAACTGAAATTTAAAGATGCATACTTAATATTCCCAAAACTCTTCTTTATAAGGACATATTTGGGAAAATTCTTAAAAAATAGAGATCTTGGTGAGTGTTCATGTTAAAAAATATTCTTTAGTTTTAAAAAAGGCCCATTACAGACTTTAGTATATGTGCTGCCGAAGCAAGCACCCATTACAGACTTTAAATGCAAGATTTTCCAAGTTGCATTTTAAGATGATTTTATTTGTAAAAAATAAATTTACCCAAACCACTCAGTAAATGCTTTGTAATCTTTTTATGTTTAAGATCAGATTTCTTAAAATGGGGCAAATTTTTGCAACAGATTAAGAAAAATAACAGCTTTATTGAATATAATTCACTTACCAAGCAATTCACCCTTCAAATAAAATGTACAATTCAGTGGTTTTTGGTACAGTCACAAAGTTGTACAACCATCAACACTAATTCCAGAATATTACCACTGCCACAAAAAAGAAAACTAATTCCAGTTAGCAGTCCCTCCCATTACCTCTATTCCCAACTCCTGCCAATTGTTAGTGTACTTTCTGTATCTATGGATTTGCATATTCTGGAATTCATATAAATGAACCGTATAATGATAATACAATAAATGGTCCTTTTTGTCTTTTTTTTCATTTAACGTATGTTTTCAAGGTTTGCCTACATGGTAGCATGTATCAGTACTTTTATTTTCTTAATCATAGTTGAATATTTTGTTGGGTGTATATAAATATACATTTTATTTATGTATATATCAGTTGATGGACATGAATTATTTATACTTTTTGACTATTGTGAATAATACTGCAACAAACATTCAAATAAAAGTTTTTATTTAGACATTTACAGTAGTATTTTTATTTCTTTTGGGTAAATACCTCAGAGTGAAATTAGAGTGTCAAGCAGTAACTCTGTGTTTAACTTTTTGAGGAACTGCCAGACTGTTTTGGAAAGCAGCTACATCATTTCATAGCCCCACTAGTAGTGTGTGGGGTACCAGTTCCTCCACGTCCTCACCAATACTTACTATTATCTGTCCTTTTGATTACAGTCATCCTGGTGGATGTGAAGTGGTTTCTTGTTGTGATTTTGATTGTACTTCCCAGATGGCTTATTTTATGTGCTTATTGTTCATTTCTGTATCTTCTTTGGAAGAACATCTCTTTAACATTCTTTGTCCCATCTTACAATTGAATTGTCCTTTTTTTTTTTTGATGGTATGGAGATTGAACCCAAGGTTGCAAGAATGCTAGGTAAGCAAAGCACTCCACCACTGAGCTATCCCAGTCTTGGTTATTTGCCTTTTTATTGTTGAATTGTAAGAGTTCTTTATGTATCTTATATATGAATCTTTTATCAGATACATGATTTGCTGATTTTTTCCCCATATTATGTGTTGGGATTCACTTTCTAGGTGGTGTCCTTTGAAGGACAAAAGCTTTTATTTTATTTATTTTTTTTTCAAAAGCTTTTAATTTTGATGAAGTCCAATTTATCTTTTTTGTTATTGTTGCTGTTGCTTCATTTTGCATTGAGGTCTAAGAAACCATTACAGTTCTCCAAAGAGACAGAACCAATAGAATATATAGATTTATTAGGGGAACTGAAGAGATTAATTAGAGGAATTGACTCGCATGATTATGGAGGCTGAGAAGTTCCACAACAGGCCATCTATGGGCTGTAGCCCTAGGCTTGTAATATGGCCCAGTCCAAGTTAGACAACCTCAGAATTGGGGAAGCCAATGCTGGAATTCTTAGGCTGCAGACAAAGACCTGAGAACCCAGGGTGTATCTGGTGCAAGTCCTGATGGGTCTTTCCCACTCAGTCCACTCATACTCACATGCTGATCTCTGGAAATAACCTTTTGATGCCTGTACTCTATTAACTTTATGATTTTTTTTCTAAAAGTAATTGAAGATAATTAAAGGACTTTCAAGAACACATCGCTAAAGAATGATATGGATAAAAAGTCATATGGATTTTTCATAAAGAATGATGCTTGTGTGGTATATTTGAATAGAATTAGTAATCAGGATATTCATTTGTCTCTACTAATGCTTTTTAGCCATGGCTTGGATTAATGCCTTATTATTAGCACTTCAGAATTTTATAATTTATAATAGATATAATTGACAATTTGAGAGTATAATAGGGAAGGGTGAAGGAGAGGCAGTAGCTGTGCTACGTTTGATAATTTAACCAATTTCCATAGAGTACCCTTTCTTACTTAAACTTATTCCCGACCAAAAGCTCTGGGAGTAGCTCTTCATATGCTTTACTCCTTAGTGGAGATTTCCCCAGCATGTAGATACTCAATTCAGCGAATAGAATGTCCTATATTTTGAGCACTTCTCAGATATTTTCTTTTTGCTGCACTTGCTGTGTCAGAGACATGAAATAAGTCTTAAAAACATGTCTGTTCTCTGGATGCTTACATTTAGGAAGATCAAGTATATATAGTTACCTTGTGTTGCCATGTACGTACTTGAGATCTGTTATATGGCTTATCTTTCTCACTAGATAAAAGCTCCATGAGGATAAATATCTTTATATTGATGCAGTGTGCAGTACAGTGCCTCTCATATGTAGCTTGTGCTTATTATAACAATTTTAAATCAATAGAGCAATAAAACAATAGACTACACATAAATAATGAGTGGCATGACCAAACAGTATTGAATTTCAGAAGTAACAACAGTGTTCCAGATTTATTAAGGAAGGTGAGCAAGAGAAGAAAATATGAGTGGGCGCATAAAGGATGGCAAGAACTGAGAAAAGGGGAAGAAAATTTTAACTGGGTATCATAGTATTTGGAGGGTGTCAGGTAGATCATATTGACCAAAACAGAAGTTCATATTGGCTTGTAGATTGAGTGAAGAGTGGGTAACTAGGTAGGAGGAAGGACATATTTTGGAGGTCTTGAATACCGATTTGAAGTTTGTCTTTATTTGATGAACTTATTTGCATTAGAAAGTTTTGGGGCAAAATAGTACTTCAAGAAGACCTAGTTGGTAATAGTGTGTATTAATGGTACCAGGTCACCGTATATAACAGGACAGGATTGAGTTCTTTTAGAGTGTCAGCTCTTTGATAGCAGGCTTCCTTGATGTTTAATGTCTGGCATAGTACCTAGAGCAAAATTTAGCTCTTTATTCAAGAAATGTATGAGCTAGGTAATCTGGATCAGATAGAGGTGTTAGCAGTAGAAAAAATTCATACGAAATAAAATTTGAAGAAAATATTGAGATGTCTTATTTTTTAAGTGTATAAATTATAAGTATAAATTTAAAAATGATACTAAGAGTGAGTTATTAAGGAAGAAAGGTTCTATCTCTGGAATAGGGAAGTCAGCTACAGAAGAGCAAGGACAGTCATGGTCATGTGTTATGCTTGCCAAGGCTGACACTGCAATGTCTAGTACATAGAGATTTAAGGACTCAATTAAGAACTAAAGTCTAAATGTTTAAATTTGAATTTCATGTGGATGTTACTGTTTGAACAGTAAAAATAATTGTACTGAAAAAGCTGTATGGTGTGCATATGTGCAGAGATTGTGTGCATGTACACAAACACACACCCATACACAGTGACGTACAATATGTGTGTTAGATTGTTGATAAACTTAGCTGCTTATTAACACTAGCAGAACGATGAGGACTAATTCTTAGGGTGAGTAGAGGTAAAAAGGGAGTTAAAGAGGGGCCAGAAAAGAAACATAGAAGTACTTAAAACACAGATTTGCTCATGAGACTTTGAAATTAGCGTTATGTTTAAGAACGTAGTATAACTACTACAAGTATTATTCTGTTTCAAGTGGGTGTTTGCTATATGCCAGGTACTGTGCTAGGGATGCTGTGATGTCAGTACTATTATATCCCCCTTTTCCTGGTGAAAAAATGGAAGTCTAAAGAAGTTAAAACTTGCTCAAGATCTCTGAGCTAATAAATAGAGTACCTTGTGGATATAAATCAAAAGCCACATGTTTTTTCCATTATACCAAAGGGATATATGTTTGACTTTTGCAAGACAGGGGCTATGTTTATACAGAATCCGTCTTTAGTGAGGGTTTCTTAATTAGCAGGCAATGTTGGACAGTAATGTTTCCTATAAAAATAACCAGCATGTACTTTGGATGGAGCTTTGTCTTAGTTACTTTTCTTGTTGCTGAGACAAAATACTGAACATCCACAAGTTAAAGGAGGAATGGTTTATTCAACTCACAGTTTGTAGAGGTTTTAGTTCAGTTGGCTGGCTCCAAGGCAGGGTGGCACAGCAGAGAGGCACACAGAGGAGAAACAGTCCATGGCAAGCCTGCAGGAGACAGCAAAGCAGCAAGCAGCAGGCAGCAGCAGCAGCAGTAGCAACAGCAGCCTGCCTCTCCCTTTTTATTCCTCCCAGAGTACCAGCCTTTTGGGTTGTGCCACCCACACCCAGCGTGGGCCTTCCCATTATCCACACCCAGAACTATGCTAAGCAAATCAGTGGACTGGTTTAGTAATCACACACCCTTCATCCCAGCATCATATACCCTAAATCCAGCCACCTCCCAAAATTCCCAGATAGGAGTGCATTAGGTTTTGGGGGGGACATCTAGACACAAGCTATAATAAGCTGCTTCTACTTTTCTACTTGGGAATTTATATTCATAGCATATTCCATTTTTTTTTAATTGCTTATTGTGAGTGTTAATTTTAAAAAAGGTATCAGGGATGGGGATTTAGCTCAGTGATGCCACTGCCTGCCTCCAAAGCACAAGGTCCCAAGTTTGATCTCCAGTACAAAAAAATAAATAAAAAGGTATCAGTTCTTTTATTTGAAGAATTATTCACAAAGAACTTTCCAGTTTTTTCCTTAAATACAAAATTTTTGAATACATTTTTCAGAATGTTCATATATTAACAAGAAACTAAGAAGGGCCTGTCATTTTCTTTTATTTCAGGGGATATCATTTTCAATGCCCAATACCCAGAGCTGCCCCCTGATTTTATCTTTGGAGAGGATGCTGAATTCCTGCCAGACCCCCTGGCTCTGCACGTGAGTACTGTAGACTTGTTCCAGTGATCTTTGGTGAAAAAATAAAATTGGCTTTTGATAATTGCCTAACAGATAAATTTGTCAAACATTTAAGGTCTTTTTTGACCCATCTTTTCTTTGTCCTGTGAAAGAAGAATGACTTTATGTACCAAAATATTTAAAAAATAGATTTTTAAAAATTGCAGTTTTACTTTCAGGCTATTTTGAATGAATGGAAACTCTCTAGCATATTGGTTGAAACAATTTTACCTCAATTTAAGGAGACATGTTGAAAACATTTTCTTTGTTTCAGTGTGATATTTTGTGTCTGCAATCAGTTTTACAGTGTTTATAAACACTTCTTCACAGGGCTGGTTAGGAGTGTTTCTTGGCTTAAGAGGCCTTTTTTTTTTTTTTGTATAGAAGTGAAAGTGGCAAATTTGGACTTGTATCCACATTATCTCAGAATCATTATCAGAAGAGTAAAGACCAGATTAAGTGTTCTTACCAAGACTAAAACCTTTGTAACAGTTGAGCAAAATGTTTCTGGAATGAACACAGGAGTACACACCATTAGGGAAAGGGGTGGTGATGCTTGTCAGGACACGTGCAGTTACATGCAAGTTGTGTGTTTTGCATGGCTGATGGAGGAAAATATGTGCCATTTTGTCTAAATAATTCTTAACCAGACAGAATGTCTGTTTTTTTCCCTTCTCAAATCTGAGTTTGCTGCAATTTCTGTACGCAAAGGGGTTTAAGTTTTGTTTAAAACTGTGTTCTTAGATTTGCTTCTGGAAAATTTTCATCTTGTTAAAGTTATGCAATTAAAAAGTTTTGATGACTTTGAAATCTTTGTCTCTTCTACCCTCTTATGAAAGAGGCTATATTAACTCAAACCTAAAAAATTATCTTAAATTATAGAACACAGATATAAATGTGCTCTTGGGAAGAGTAGGCCAGGTTTGTTTTAAAGATTTTAATTGTATATAAGCAGTTCATTAGCTTTTTAAAAAAGCTCTAGGTGCAATGAGTCACATATTCACCCCATATTAAATGTTGAGATGCCTTCCTGGAAAAGATGAGGTAGAGGCATAGACCTCTGCTGTCTCAAATCTGCCAAGTGGAGGGAAGCATATGCTAGATGCCAAAAGGTTTCATGCTAAGTGCCTCCAGAATTGAAAGAAGCTAGCCACAGAAAGCTTTGTGGTATAGGTAAGATTGGCACTCATTCTTGAAGAAAGGAGCAAAAGTGGAAGGTGTGGTAGAAAGTATTTCAGGTAGGAGAATGACAAGAAAATTCGAAGAAACCATGATCTGTATAATGTGTTGCAGAAGAAGGTACCGACAGATTTGCTGAGATGTAAATTAATACAGGATAGGGCTAGAACATGGGCATGGTGGTGCATGCTTCTAATCCTAGCACTCTGAAAGGCTGAGGCAGGAGGATTGCAAGTTTGAGCCTAACCTGGGTAACTAAAGAGACTTCCCTAGACCCTGTCTCAAAAATACAAAGTAAAAAATGGCTGGGGATGTATCTCAGTGTTAACACCCTGGGTTCAGTCTCCAGAAAACAATAAGAGCAACAACAACAACAGCAAGGCTATAAAAGGACCTGAAGTACATTGAAGAAAATTACAGAAGGGGAATCATTTGATTATAATGTGTCAGTCTAATGAATTAAGGACAGGATGAGGACCAGAGTTGAAGATTGTTTTAAAAACCCAGGACAAAGAAAAGAGACTTTGAGCTAGGGTGATAAAAGAAGGAACACTATGATTGTCAGGATAAGAAATACTTATTTACAAACTCCTCCTCCTCTTTTTCTCCTTCCTCCTCCCTCCTCCTCTTCCCCTTCTTCCACCGCCTTCTCCTCTTCTTTTGAATTATCCTTATAACTTGTAGTGCATATTTTACAGTATTGGCAAGTATTGTGAGAATAGAATTTAAAAGCTAGAAAAGACCTTAGGATTCATCTTACTCCACTCTGCTATTTTAGTTCTGAGGAAATTGATTCAGATTTATATAACTCTGTGTCAGAACTAATACTATAATTCTATTCCTTTGATGTTTCATCCCTCAGTGTAGCTATCAAATTTTTTTTGTGCAATTAGCTGAAAAAGAACAGCGCCCCCCAAAAGAAAATCAGAGCACTAAATTTAAGAGAAAGATTGGAAATGTAGGGCAACATTTTCTCTTCAGTGATAATTAATCCAGGTCCTCAGGTCGGCTTACCATGGTTTCTTCATGGATCAAGGGGGTTGGGCAAGCACAGAGAAGCAACCAGAGTGTACCTGCACTAGTCAGGTGATGTCCAGATAGCTCTGGAGGTTGCACTTTATGTCTTTCTGGTTAAAATACCAGGACAGAATAAACTCTGAGGCTGATCCCCAGCAGCCATTTCCCTGAGCAAAGCTCTCCTCTGAAGGACTTTTCATTCACCTGTTAACATCTTTTAGGCTTTGGATTCAATTCAGACTTCTTTCTGCTTTCTTAAAGTTCTCAGAGCACTGTTGCTCAGTAACCTGACTGGTCTACAGAAGGTCCTGAATGAAGGGTTATGTTTTTTGTCACCCGCCGAGTGGAAAATAGGATGCCTAGGTGCCACAGACTTTTCTATCAAAGTCTTAATTGCAGATGGGAACAAATATGTACCCTTAGAGTCTGAGAGTGCAGTCCAGAGTAGCTCGTGTGGCAAATACTTACATGCTTACTTAGAAGTTTCTGGGTGATATCTTAAAAATCCATGAAAATACTGCATTTGTTTCTGTAATATATCTGTATTTTAAAATATAAAATATGTTAAATTGTAAATATTTGAGAAAAAAAATGAGTTCTTCAATGTACCCACTTTGAGAAATACAGTTTCAGAGAGTGCATGTGATCTTTTATTTATTCAATTTATGTACACCTGCTCCTTTCCAAAAGAAGAGGATTTGAGGATTTTAAGTAAATAACACAAAAAAAGATGAAGCCATCTTTTTTTTAAACTCAGACTTTTCATTCAGGGAGGTGAGTTCCATTAAGCAACTTCAGATTTTTAGATGATTGTAAAATACTAGATAAATGCCAGATGTAGAGATAGGTTGTCTCATAGATTCCAAAAAAATCATACAGTTATTGACTGAGGGCCTTGGTGGCCCAGTGGTTTCCCAGTTCAGCACATGCATTAGGATACTTTGGGAATTCTGTTAAAAACATAGCTTCCTAGAACCCTCTGGACCTAGAACTAGAGGCTTTGGGGAACCCAGGGACTGTTAAATTATTTTGGCTATTTTTATGTGTTGATCTGTGAACTGCTATTGGGAACCACAGACTGAATTGTCTTTTATAGCAACATCTCCAACAAAAGGGTGTTTGCTTTTGCTTAACATTATTTCCAGTGAAGTATCATTTTTCACTTTGGGACTAGCTCTAATTTAAAAAAAATAATAGTTTTCTTGAGACTTAATTTACGTACCACATAATTCATCTATTTAAAGCTGTAATCCAGTGGTTTTTTAGTATATTCACTGCATTGTGCAACTGTCACCACAAGTTTAGAACATTGTCATTACACCCAGAACCCTTAACCCATTAGGTGTCATTTTGCTCTTCTTCCCACCTAGGCAACAACCAGTCTGTACTCTGTCTCTGTGAGTTTGTCTCTTCTGGACGTTTCGTATTCATGGAATGTTATCCTTTTTGATGGTTTTCACTTAGTGTAATGTTTTCATATAGCATTATGAATTTACTTTTTATTGGCAAATAATATTCCATTATAAATGTATTCCATGTGTATCCATTTGTCAGTAAATAGACATTTATATTGTTTCCTTGCTTTGGTTATTAAATCAATTACTACTATCATCTAGACATTTTTATTGCTTTTCTTGGATATATCCCTTAGGAGGGGAATTGAAGGGCCACATGGTAACTCTGTGTTTAAGTTTTTCCAGAACTTCTGGACCTGTCTTCAAAAGTGGTTGCATCATATTGCATCCCCAACTGGCAGTAATTTATGTGTTCCAGTTTCCTCATATCCTCCCCGTCACTGTGTCTTTTTCATTATAGCTCTCATTAGTGGGTATGAAATGGTATTTCACTGTGGTTTTTATTTGTGTTTCTTTGGTAGCTAATGACATTGAGCATCTTTTCATGTGCTTATTGGCCAACTGTGTATCCTCATTGGAGAAATGTCTCTTTAGACTCTTGAATTACTTGAGGTTTTAAAACAGAGTTATAAGAGTTCTTAATATATTCTCTTTAAAAGTGGTTTATCAGATACATAATTTGTCAAAAGTTTCTCCCATCCTACACATGGCCTTTTTTTTTTTAAGGTAATGTCTTTTACAATTTTGAGGAAGTGTAATTTATCTATTTCTTTTGTTGTGTGTGCTTTTGGCTTTATATCTAAGAAACTATTCCCTAATACAAGATAATGAAGACTTACTCTTATGTTTTCCTTGAAAAGTTTTGTAATTTTTGTTGTTACATTTAGGTCTTTGATCTTTTAAAATTTTTGTATATGATGTGAGGATGGCACCCAACTTAACTGTTTTGGAAACTGGATATCCAGATGTCCTGGCACAATTTATTAGAAAGACTTTTTCCTTTATTGAATTGTCTTTGCACTTTTGTTGAACCTCCATTGTGAATGTGAGGGGTTTGCTTTTGGATTCTGAAGTCTATTTCATTGATTTGTATGCCTATACTTACAGTAATGCAACTTTATAATGAGTTTTGAAATTGAGAAGTGTGAATTTTCTAACTTTGTTCTTCTTTTCAAGATTGCTCTGACTTTTATGGCCCACATGACTTGTATTTCCATATGAGTTTTAGGATCAACTTGTAAAAGATGATTTCAGCTAGGACTTTGATGGGATTTGTGTTGAATCTCTCTAGTGCAGTACTGGTGAAGCTATAGTCCCGTTTGTATCATTGAAAGCTCTAAAAGGTTCACCATCACTGCTCTAGAGTAACCTAAAGATTTTGCCATCTTAATGATATTAAGACTTACTTTAGTCAAGAGCACGAAATGTTTT